AACCTACCTCTGACATCTCCCCTATACCTTCCTCTAATCACCTTAAAATTATGCCCCCTCGTATTAGTCATTTCTGCCCTAGGAAAAAGTCTCTGACTATCCACTCTATCTATGCCTCTCATCACCTTGTACACCTCTATCAAGTCACCTGTCATCCTTCTTAGCTCCAATGAAAAAAGCCCTAGCTTCCTCAACTTTTCCTCATAAGACCTGCCCTCCAGTCCAGGCAGCATCCTGGTAAATCTCCTCTGCACCCTTTCTAAAGCTTCCACATCTTTTCTATAATGAGGTGACCAGAACTGAACACAATATTCCAAGTGTGGTCTAACCAGGGTTTTATAGAGCTGCAGCATAACCTCACGGCTCTTAAACTCAATACCCCTGCCAATGAAAGCCAATACACCGTATGCCTTCTTTACAACCGTATCAACTTTGCCTCTGTATTAAACTTGCTTGAATGTTGGGCCAAATGGGGCTGAATCTAATGTTTTCGTTTTGCAAGGTATCAATTTTGTCAGGTTTTATGAGGGAGGGGTTTCTCTCCACAAGGGCTAACAAATTTTCTCATGTCATCTTCCCAAACATTTTGGCTTGAAAGACTAAATGGCCTACTCCTGCTCCCATTTCCTGTGTTCTTGGAAAACCTTGAAAGTGATCAGTTTTTTACATGAATGCACTTCCATAAAGCCAAAATTAGCAATGTTTAATGGGAAGTACCTTCAGTAATTAATCAGCTCAATGTATTTACGGGTGGGTGCCCTAGGCTATTTTCCTTATTGTTCTGTTCTGAATAAAAGCTAGGTGATCGTTGAATGTTGACATTATAAGCTAATGAAAAATTCATGCTGTTTTCCTTTCCTCAAAAACAATTGCACTGATCTTTCACACCGCTGACTCAACAGGTTGCAGTGAGCAACTCATCGACAAACTCCCTGAAACTTGTCCATCATCTATAAGGCACAAGTCAGGAGTATGATGGTATACTCTATTCAAAGCAAAATACTGTGGATGCCGGAGGTCTGAAATTAAAACAGAGAATGCTGGAGAAACTCAGCAGGTCTGGCTGCATCTGTGCAGAGAGAAACAGAGTTAATGTTTCAAATCCAATATAACTTTTCTTGCAATCCATTTGGTGCAGGTAGATCTGCAACAGAGAGGGAATTCTAGGATTTGACCCAATGACACTGAAGGAATAGCGATATATTTCCAAATCAGGATGGTGAGTGGCTTGGAGGGGAACTTTCATGGGGTGGTGTTCCCATGTATCTGCTTGCTCTTGTCCTTCCAGATGGATGTGGTCATGGGTTTGGAAGGTGCTGTCTAATGATCTTCAACAGTGCATCTTATAGATAGTACACACTTCTGCTACTGAGCGTCGGTGGTGGAGGTAGTGGATGCTTGTGGATGTAGTGCCAATCAAGTGGGCTGCTTTGTCCTTGATGATGTCAAACTTCTTGAGTGTTATTGGAGCTACACCCATCCAGGCAAATGGGCAGTATTCCATCTGACTACTGACTTGTGCCTTGTAGATGGTGGACTGGCACTGGGGAATCAGGAGCTGAGTTATTTGCTGCAAGATTCCTAGTCTCTGACCTGTTGTTGCAGCCCCTGTATTTACATGGCTATCCAGTTCAGTTTTTAGTCAATAGTGACCCCCGGGTGTTGATAATGGGGTATTCAGCGATGGTAATGCCTTTGAATGTGAAAGGGCAATGATTGTTGGAGGTGGCCCCTGCCAGGCTCTTGTATGATACACAAATGCTATTGGTCACTTGTCAGCCCAAGCGTCAATATTGTCCGTGTCTTACTATGTTTGGACACAGACTCTTCAGTGTCTGAAGCTTCGCAAGTGTTGCTGAGCATTATGCAGTCAACAGCAACCATCCCCATTTCTGACCTTATGATGGAGGGAAGGTCATTAATGAAGCAGCTGAAGATGGTTGGGCCTAGGACACTACCCTGAGGAACTCCTGCAGAGATGCCCTGAAGCTGAGATGACTGACCCCCAACAACCACGACCATCTTCCTATGTGTTAGATATGATCAATAGTTGTAGAGAAAAAAAACAAAGCATATATCCATAGCAGGTATGAATAGCAAAATAAAGATAAATTTTGACAGAAAGGGAAAATAATGAAAACTGGGAGGAAAAAAAGAATTGAAATAAAGGACAAAGTTCATGGTCTGAAGTGGTTGAACTCAATGTTGAGTCCTGAAGGCTGTAAGGTCTCTAGCTTGTATTGGGCCTTGCTGGATCCCTGCAGCATGGATGGAAGTGTTGGCGTGAGAACAAGAAGGGCTAATGAAATGGCAAGCACATGGACGCTTGGGTCATGCTTCGGGAATGAGCAGAGGCACTCCATGAAATGGTCACCTCATCTGAATTTGATCTCTCTGGTGCAGAGAGACAATGTTGGCTGCAGAGATTTAAAGACGTACAAGTGAATTTAGACAAGTTTCTTAACAACACCCACAGGCAGTGATGGGCCAAAAGCCTTCTCCTCTCATTCGATGATTCTAGTATGGGAGGATTGGAACAGTACTGCCCCCCAAACAAGTTCTGCCATTCAATGGCCTATTAGCCAATCTATCTCCTAAATCCATTTGTCCACTTTGGCTCCATATTGTTGAATACTTTTGGTTTAGCTTGGCTGCATGATGAGCATTTCACCCATCTCATATATTCTACTTGATCTTCCTTCATTTTATTATTGTCTTCAGCAGGGATCAGAGATTTGCAGCAAAAGAATGTTTCCGATCAGTACATAATTGCTGAGAAACAATGTTGGAGAGGGATTTTAAAAAGAAGTCTGAGTCATGTGTTCAGCAGCACAACTTGATCTTTATTCATACCAACGCAGCATGGCAGAGGTTTCTAGGGCACTCCAACTCTCCCATTAAAGTACAGGATAGTTATCCACACCACGTTACAATGGTTATATGCAACATTGACATCAGTTCTTGCCACACCCACTATGACCTACACATCCAATCCCATGAATACACAATTAATGATGGACAACTCCATGGTCAACCCTAGATCCACCCATCATCTGTCCTTGGGATCTTACAATACATTTTATTGACCACATTCCAATCCTGACTGTTCTGTCCCTTCCCAGACACTTACCTGCTGCATCGTATATTTGCTTATTACTAATGACTTTTCAAATTCTGTTATCCAATTTATAATTCTGGCTAATTTTAGTACAGAAGATTAGAAAGGACGTTAATTTCTACCAATTGCAATGAAGTTTGTAATATCAGCTCTAATGTAAAGTTACTCATAAAGTTATACACAGTTACAATATGACAAAGCTGACAATTTTGGGAGCAGCTTCCTTCTTAGTCAACTTTCAAAGGCCAAACAAACACAGTCTCTCTGTCTAGTATCTGTCATTTACAGTTTCTTCTATTTGCATGCTTATTTGAAAACACAAGCTTTCGCAGCTTTGCTCCTTCACGTGTTAGTGAGACATGTAGTATCAGACACAGAATTTATAAGTAAAAGATCAAAGGGTCACAACATTGATGAGGATGACCTTTTGATCTTTTACTTATAAATTCTGTGTCTGATACCACCTCTCTCTCCAACACTTGAAGAAGGAGCAAAGCTCCGACAGCTTGCGATTTCAAATAAACCTGTTGGACTATAGCCTGGTGTCGTGTGACTTCTGACCTTGTCCACTCCAGTCCAACAGACGTGTTCTCTGATGCAGGTTAGATTAGGTCACTGGTCTGGAAGGATTGTCTGCCCTAATTTCTTATTGAAAGTAGCCCTTCTCAGAAGTAATCAACACCCTTATGCACCCTTATCCACCCCAGTCCAACACCAGCATCTCCACGTTATTTGCATGCTGTAAGATGGCTTAAAATAGAAGTTTGATACCTGGATGGACTTCATTGGACATTATTTTAAATACTTTTCATACTTGTTCTCTTTACTAAATAAGATAACATCTATTGAAATCCTATTGACAGCCTTATCAAGTCATTAAAAAGAAGCTTATTTGGACTTTTTAAGGTTCTGCAAGACATGACCTCTTTCTCACCTTAGTCTTATAAATTTTTCTCTGTTGTCCTTCCCTTGTTCTTTAGGCTGTAGGTTAGGTTGTGAAGCAGCAATTGTTTATTCTCTCAAGGTCATAGTGACCCTGTTTCACAATTGTTTCTGGCTCCCTTGCTATCTCATTTGTCTCTTGGTACTCTTTTATAAGGTTATACTTCTTGTTATTGTAATCTTCCTGCTGATGGAGTGAATGTTTCTCTCTACTACCTACAGCTATTTATTGAAAGAAAATTCAGTTGAACCCCTTAATGTTAGTTCATTGGTTGCCTATACAGGTGTATTTAATATGTAGTGACAATTACCTAAAAAGACTCGATTATTGTGGAATCAGACTTTTCTTCTAACCTGTACTAAATAACAAACTTTGAACTAGCTGGTACCAGACCCTTATCAAGGTTCTCCAAGGGTTTTTATCGAAACCAGTCTTTGTGTCCAGAGATGATAGCTAGTAGATTTGTAGGGCCAAATGGCCTACTCCTATTCCTAAATACTATATTCCATCATTACGCTGTTTCTTGCGTGCTACACTCTGATGGACATGAATAGGGCGCAGAACCAGAAACAGGGATACAATACACTGCCTCAGTTCTCCAAACTTTGTCTGCAACTTTCCACAAGGAATCATGAAACAAACTCTGTAGTCTATTCAAAAGCTTCTACTGTATTAACTACATGACCATTAATGTCATCATCTAATATGGTCTGAAGGAATATCTGCGACCTAATGGAATAAAGAAACAGCAGATGGATATGTTACTTAAGGGTTAATAGTGTATGATTTGATTGGGGAGGAGCTAGTAATGGGAGGTTACTTTTATGGAGTATATTGAACTGAAATAAAACTCTCACAAAAAATGTGGACTTGGCCTCTATTCAAAAACTTTTATCCTCTAATGTATAACAATTGACACTGCAATTTTGCATTTGCCAGGCAAAGCTGCACCCTCAGTGAAAGTACGCACTCCCTTCAACTCAAGAACAAAGATGTCTCTCCACTCCAAAATAAATACTCGAAGCACTGGTGCCGGGAAACACAGAGTGACAGATAAATGTGAAGATAAGATTCAAGAATCTTTAGAGGAAGAGAACTGCAAAGATTTGGTGGCTGAGCCAAGCGACTTGAAGGAGGTAGAAGATTCTCAAATGTCTAATTTCAATGATACTAAAGATGATGAAGAGACTCTAGAAATGGACAGCACTGTGCATCTCGCAAAACAAATTGAGGTTATCATCCATTTGAAGCCAAAGTTGGACAGTAGTGCAGAGTGCTGCAGTGAGAAAGACCCGGAGCAAATCAATTCAAATGGAGCTTGTATCTGAACAAAGGGAATCTATGAACATCTTTTCTTTATAAATACAGGACTGCTGCAAATCAATTACAAGATCAGACTTGTTTATTTGCTTAATTTTCTCCACATGAAGCGGGGAAACAGCACTTTGATCATTATTTGCCTGATAAAAACATATTTTTGTGTTTGAGCTTGTAAGCTGAAGAAATGCCAGTGATGAATATCTTTTGACTTTTATGTTGATGATGAATGATAACTGGTGAAAGCGAATCTCAATTTAATTACTGTAGAGCCTTCCTCGCAGGGTAAGGACAGAAAAACCATGTTAAAATATATCTCGTGATTGCTTTGATTTGGTTGTGAAATCCACTCGTTAAAGACATTGTAATCCCGTTTAAGGTTATTTTATCAACTGAAGAGATAACAACTACAAATTGCATCTATATAGCACCTTAAATATGGTTTAAAAAGTTCCAAGGTCCTACACAAGACCAAACACAGATTGACACTGAGATACATGTGAGGAGATATTTGGACAGACAACTAAAAGCTTTCTTATACATTCATTTGTGGGATGTTGGCATTGCTGTCTTTGTCAGTGAAATAGGCTTTGGGACTCTCCTGAAGTGGGGACAGACGTAGAGAGGCTTCAGGGAGAGAATTTGAGAGCTTAGGGCCCAAAACGACTGAAGGCATGATCACCAGTAGGGCACATTTAAAAATGATAGTGTGCAAAAGGCCAGAATTGAAGGAAGAAGAGGTTGTCAATGGTTGGCGAATGAAGGAGAACATAAGAGATAGAGATGATGCAAGGCTATAGATGGATTTGAAAACAAGGATGTGTGCAATGATAAGCCCCGAAAGAACTGCGGATGCTGTAAATCAGAAACAAAAACAGAAGTTGCTGGAAAAGCTCAGCAGGTCTGGCAGCATCTATGGAGGAAGAAAAGAAGTTAATGTTTTGTGTCCAATATGACTTTTCTTCAGAACTGAAAGGGACTGGAAAATATTGTTTTTATGCTATGAACAGAGGGCTAGGAGGAGCAAGTGAATAGATTGTGCGGGTGCCTAGAGTAAGGGAGTGCTTATTAGTGGTAAAGGAGGGATAAAGATGTAAAATAAATATGAAGAAGAGAAAATGAGTCCGCTCTGTAGGAAGTAAAGTCAACAAAGACACATACATACAAGACATGCTGGGATGGGAGTAGGGTGATTTTAATCAACTTGGAGGACAGAGGTCATATACCAAAGTTGGTCCTCTCCAGTTGGTGATGCAGGTAGGGGGTTATTGTGGTTGGTCAATGGAAAAGGTGGAGTGGATAGGTGAGTTGGAAGATTGACAGGTTGGGGGTGGAGAGATTTTGAAGCTGGTAAAGCCAATATTCAAGCCATTGGGCTATAAGCTCCCAAGGCAAAATATGAGGTGTTCTTCCTCCAGTTTATGTTGGCTTTGTTCTGAAAGTGGAGGAGGCTAAGGATGGACATGTCACCATGGGAGGGTTAAAGTGGATGGCAACCGGAAGGTCAGGTTGGTTGGTGCATGCAGAATACAGATGCTCTGTGGACCAGTCCCTGAGTCTGCGTTTGATCTCCCCAGTATAGAGGAGACCACATTGGGAGCAACGGATACAGTAGATGAAGTGCAGATGAATCTCTTCCGGATCTGGAAGGATTGTTTGGGGCCTTGGACGGAGGTGAGAGGGGAGGTGTAGGGGCAGGTGTAGCACTTCCTGTGGGTTGCAGGGAAAGGTGCCATGTGCGGTAGGGGGGTAGGTGGGGAGTGTGGAGCTGACGAGGGAGTCATGAGGCCAGAAATAAACTGGAGGAACAACACCTCATATTTTGCCTTGGGAGCTTATAGCCCAATGGTCTGACTTCACCAGCTTCAAAATCTCTCCACCCCGAACCTGTCCATCTTCCAACTCCCCTATCCGCTCCACCCTTCCTACTGACCAACCACAATAATCCCCTACCTGCATCCACTTATCTCCATCTCACCTACCTTCCCCCGAGCCTCACCCACCTCCCTCTATTTTTTTCTGGGCTCCCTTCCCTCTCCCCAGTCCTGCTGAAGGGTTTCGGCCTGAAACGTTGACTTCCCTGCTCCTTGGACGCTGTCTGACCTGAGAGCTTTTCCCAGCTGCACATTTATTGACTCTAGCTTCCAGCATCTGCAGTCTTTACTGTCTCCTAATCATAATGTTAGTTTATTTCAAATCATTGAAACTTCACCTCACAGTTAAGTGCCTTGAAGATCTATGGATGTGCATACAAAATACAGTATGAACATTCACACGTATTTTTGACCTTTATCTCAGATGAGTGCTTCTCAAAGCAATCATGCCTAAAGATGAAGAGTTTCAGCAAATGTAAAGGCATCCCTATTTCTGAACAATCGCATTCTATTCAGTTAAACTGTGTCATGTCAACCTCCACTCTTATTAACTAAGGTAGCTGTGACAATTTTCTGCAGCTTTGAGGTCATGAACACGCGTTCCAGATTTCCACAGTGCACTTGGACTTATAGATTTTCATCGATTCCCACGTCAGCTAAGTTAATTTTCTGATGGCTATGGTTGCTTTTGGTCTATAATGTGATTTGACGGTTCAGCATTCTCTTGATTGGCTGTAAAAGCTTTTCTGCTGTTTTCATAAAGTCAACCTTCATGGTATGATTATCAACAGAAAAGAAACGTTCTATGTGCATTGCAGGACATGAGTGACTGTGCTATTTATTGTACTTTGTCATTGTCCTGTTTATTAAAAAAATATTATTCTCCGGGTAGACTAACAAGGAATGAATTCCTGGAAGATGTCTCATGTTTGCTGTCTCATTTTGAAAGCATATGTAGGGTGAAAACTGCATATCATTTTTAAGAATAAGCACCCCGATACAGGACACATTGTCAATTCAAATTTGGTGCCTTTTCATTTTGGATTAAATTGCAAAGAAAAGAAAAATAACATCACGTGAATAAAGGCCACGACCTTGAGGTAAGTTGAAGGCTTCAGTTACTGAATTTCTAGCTGATAGGATCTTAATGTTAGCATTGACAAACATTAATAATTTATTTATATGCAAAACTACTTTCACATTTCACAAAGGATATTTTTTTGTTTCCTAGCAATAATTACTTTGTACCCGAGTGCAATGGACTAGAGAAAATGGTTGCCTCCAGACTCTTGAACGAGTACAGGGGTACAATGCTTCTTCCGACCGACTTAACAGGAAAATGTAATGCCTCTTGTGCTACTAACTATACAGATCATTATGTCTAGGTCTTGGTTTGTGTCTGTGATGAAACCACTGATCCAGCAGAATTAATGGTGGTACAATTGGCAAGGGAGGGGTGAAATAATCAGGCAAGTTGGAATATAACCTGCAATATATTTGGAAAATGACTGTTATTTACATTAATGTGATCTGTTAATGTGTTCTTTTATAGAATTGATTCACAGCACTTCCCACACACAATAATGATGGTACGTTTATACCTATTTATACCTAAATGAAACATTACATCTTAGTCAAGGAAATAGTTTATTTCTCTGAGAACAAAAAACCTTCTAAGATCTACTTAGAATTTGAGCCATATGATTTCTTACATTTAGGAATCGTGATACAAAATATTTCAACAAATGTTAAATCTCCTTTGACTCTGCCAAAATATGTTTTTTTAAAATTGAAGCAAAAAACAAATTGGATTGAAATTGAGTACCAGTTTTTATCTACATTTAATTAGTCTTCTGTTCCTTATTTTAACTTCTTTTTCTTTACATATTTTGAGCATGTAATGCTTGAGCCCAGTTTTTCACACCAGTGAAAAATGAACAGCAAGCTCTGCTGATAATGTTTAGACTTGCCCACAGACTTTCTATGGTTTTTTACATTGAAACATACAGTCACTGGGAGTTAAAAACAGTATAGGTCCTCTATATAAGATCTGTCAGCATGCAACAATATAAGCAGCAGTGCATCTCGTTAACCAATCAGATTGAAAATTTTTCACTAAAACATGCAGGAGTTTAAGTTAGAATGTTTAATTCAAAATAAAATTCAGTGCAGAAAGCCAGATAGAGGTAAAGATGATGAGATTGTAATGAAAAATTATAAAAGAAAGGACTATTTTTGTAGAATTTAGTCTCTTAAAATTTCCCACAATATTTAAAATGTGATGAAATGAGACTCCATAATTGTCAAAGTTAATTGTCAATACCAGAGCAGCTGTTTGGCAATAATAAAGACTGATCATGATTTTATAATTCATTTACTAATAAAAGCACCAGGCTAAATGTTTTCTGGCATGTTCAGGGGATAGCCATGGGTGAATTCCTTTAAATCAATTCCTCTTTACGTGTTTAAATGCCCAATGTCTCAGTCATTTAATGTTACGCGAAAGCTGGTGGAGAAGTTGGCCACAGCTCAGACAGCGACCTCCTGTTGTCTGTGTCTAGCTGTGCATGTAAGGTCACAGAGTTTAGTCATTAGTAATATTGAGTACTCATAGCCTCGTCAGATCCCAAAATGCAAACCACAATGTGAGGCAAAACAAACAATGTTTTACAATGTAGTTGTTTGGTCCAATAACATGGAGCACAAAATTATATACTGTTCTGCATGGACACTTAATGGGGACAATTTGAACCTAAGGGCAGTGTAGCCATTTAAATAATTTCAAGGCAATCAGACAGAGTCAACAGGGTTTTGAGAAAGCAAAATCAAATTTAACCATTTGTCATGGCTTAACTGGGAAGATATTTATGCTTGACTGTTACACACAACATCACAAAATGTATAAAGTCCTAATTTAATCACCAAGATGCCCAATTTGCCTGACTAATGGCTATTCAAGATGAAAGCAATTTGTGCCAGATTTTATCAATAACAGAAAACCAAAAAGGCAAAGAAAAAGAAAGGTTATCTTTTGTACTACTATGTACCTTAAACTATACACCTTCAAATACACCATACTCATTTACAATAAAGGCAAACAGAAGACAAATAGTTTGACACAGATATTGTGTGTAGATAAAGCTTTCTTGGCTTTTCTATTGCATACCCCACACAGAGGGAGAGAGATGGATGGATGTCATACAGAGTCATAGAGGTGTACAGCATGGAAACAGGCCCTTTGGCCCAACTTACTCATAACTGCCAATTTTCACAATTAAACTGGTCCCATTGCCTGCATGTGGTCCATATCCGGCCAGACCTATCCCAACCATGTACCTGTCTAAATGTTTCTTAAATGATGAAATTGTACTCGCTCCTACCGTTACCTCTGGCAGTTGGTACCAGATAGTCACCACCCTCTGTGTGAAAAAATTGCCTCTCTGGACCCTTTTGTATCTCTACCCTTTCATCTTAAACCTATGCCCTCTAGTTTTGGACACGCTGATTTGATTTGATTTGATTTATTGTCACATGTACCTAAGTACAGTGAAAAGATTTGTTTGCAAGCTGTACAGTAAGTGAGAATATACAGATCAGGGGGCTTGGACAGAGTGAGGCATATACGATACACCGCACAGGACGAACACAAGGCAAGATCAACATTGAGAAGATCAGCATTATTTGAAGTTAGAGAGTCCATTCATCCGTCTAATAACAGCAGGGAAGAAACTGTTCTCAAACTTGTTGGTGCATGTGTTCAAGTTTCTGTTTCTCCTGACTGACAGAAGAGGTTGTAGGAGAGCATTACCGGGGTGAAAAAGGTCTTTGATGATGTTGGCAGCCTTTCCATGGAAAGAGATGTGTAAATAGCGTCCACAGATGGGAGGTTGGCTTCCGTAATGGTCTTACAGTTCTGGGCAGAGCAGTTGCCATACCAGGCCATTATGCACCCAGACATATGCTTTCAATGGTGCA